AGAAACTGAGATCATTGATCCTAGTACTCCTGATAGTTCTGAATTTTTAACATCAGTCAAAGAATCCATTGACACATTTAAAGAAGTTAAGAATACAAAGAATGATGATATTACTAATATCACAGACTCTATCTCCGATCTTCGAAATCTAAGAATACAGGCAATAGATAATATTTCGAAATTATCTGGTGAACTAAAGAATCAGGTTTACAATATTGGAGATAATAATACAAAAGATTTGACACAAACAGTGGAAGAGATTGATAAATACATTAGCGATCTGAAACAAAAGGCCAAGGATGGTGGTGATGAGGCAAATATGAGCAATATTACTGATAGTTTTATTAAAAAAGATCTTATTGAAAAAGCCAAGACATATATTACTTTCTTATTAAGCAAGAATGCATTGAGGTGTGTTGATTCTAAAGATGCTAGCTTTAATAACCTATTGGGCAAGCAATATGCCCTATTTGTTGCAACTTTTACTAAAGTATACAAATATCTAGAATGCATATATATAATCGATGAAACACTTACTAAACCCTTACTGGAGAAATCTTATAGTGAATAAAAAAGGGTTAGTGTTTATTTATGAATTATAACTTATTTGTAATGGTAGAATATTTTATTTTTTGATAAATTCCAGATAGGATGTAAAGTTTCGCATACTTATTATCTGTATTAATACTTGGCTGAATTTCATGTTTAAGGGAAAGATATCCTTTAAGGCTTGACCCTACCAATAATCGCTTATGTAGTGAGCCTGAGTCTTTATTTTCAAAGAAACCATAAAAGTAATTGTTCACAGCAAATAGTTTAATCTAATTTATTCTTCGGCTTCACCTTCTTCTTTCCTTCCATTTCTACCCTTTTTTGCTCCTCCTGCACAACTATTTGGATTTATTTCAATATGTCCTTCCACTTCACTTCTAACTAACATACTTGGTTTGTTAACAACACGTCCCATTACTGTAATCTGCTTCTGCACAATCAGGCATCTCGCATGATGAATATTCGTTGCAAGTCCTGCCTTAAACACAAGTGATTGCAGACGTCGGTTGAGATAGTGACTCAAATCGAGATTCAGAACTTCTTTTAAGCATCTTGAAATATCTGCCTCGTCATTGTAATCGACACCTGAAATAATTCCCATCTTGTAGAGATAATTCAACAGAGCCCTTCCCTCCGTCATAAACTCTTCCTTGTTGGTGGTAATCAATAACTTCTTGGCCTGGGACTTGTGGGATTTCACCATTGTTAGATGCGTCCACAACTCTGTCTTGTTTCTCAGACCAAACTCTCCAACCAACTGCAGCTCTTTAACTATCCTAACGCCTTCCCAAGGATTTCTTGGCGTAGTTGCAATTCTTCTACGTCTGATAACACCGCCCATTAGGGATAAAATTTTGTAAAAAATTTCAAGAAAATATTTTATCTCTGCAATTGAAATCTGCAAAGATAAATGCTAAAACTAACTCAAAAAATACAGGCTTTAGCTTTCTAGGCCCAGCTTCTTAGTAAAATGAAAATTTATATTGCAATTGTTTCTATGGAGTCCTTTCTTATGATACCTTCAAGAACATACCCATCACGATTCTCCTCGAAAGCATCCATATTTTCTACTCTTCCCTCTGCCATACTTATATTTCCTTGTTTATCCTTACAAATAATCTTGCATAGAATAATTATCCCATTCTTTAAATATACCTTTACAAAATTGTTTTTTTCCAAGTGCATAACTGAGTTTCTGGGTACAAATGCATGTACTTATTTATAGAGCTGAGAGTCTGCAAAATATATATACATTATACTGTATTTATGGTGACCATTGAGTAATGATCAATATGTGGAAGAGTTTTGAGATCCATTAACCAACAAATGTTCGGGATGTTTATTG